TGCTGAGGACATCTGGGTTGTTTCTAAGTTTTGGTTATTAAGAACAGAGTAGCAATGAACATGGTTGAGCAAGCGTCTCTGGTAGGATGAAGTGACCTTTGGGTATATGCCCATGAGTGGTATACCTGGATCTTGAGGTAGATCGATTCCCATTTTCTGAGGAGCCGCCACGCTGATTTTCATAGTGACTGTGCAAGTTTGCATTCCCACCAGTAATGGGTAGTGTTTGCCTTACATTCTTGCCAGTGTAAGCTGGCATTTGTTTTATTGATATTAGACATTCTGATGGATATAAGATTAATTTTCAAAGTAGTTTTGATTTGCATCTCCAATAGCTAAGGATATTAAACATTTCTTTAAATGTTCCTCAGCTATTTTAATTTCCCCTAATGCAAATTCTCTGTTTAGATCTGTACCCCATTTTTAAATTGGGTTGTTTTCTTGATACCTAGTTCTTGAGTTCTTTATATCTATTTTGAATAATAGCCCTCTATCAGATATACTGTTGGTAAAAGTCTTTTTCCATTCTGTAGGCTGTCACTTTGTTCAAATGACAGTGTCCTTTGCCTTACAGAAGCTTTTCAGTTTCATGAGGTCCCATTTATCAATTGTTGATCTTAGAACCTGTGCTAACAGTGTTAGGAAGTCTTTTATTGTGCCAATAAGCTCAATCCTATTCCCCACTTTTTCTTCTATCATATTCGGTGTATCTGGTTTTATATTTGGAATTCCGTTTCATTTGGAACTGAGTTTGGTGTGGATTGATTAGTATGAATCTATTTGCAATCTTCCACATGCCAACATCAAGTTTGACTGGAACCATTTGTTGAAGATAGTATCTTTTTTCCAGATTTTCTTATCAATAATCAAGTGTTCATAGGTGTATGGATTTATGTTTCTGTCGTCAGGTAGGCTCTGCTGATTAGCATGTCTGTTTTTATGCCACTACCATGCTGTTTCTATTACTATAGCTTTGTGATACAATTTGAGGTTGAGGATGGTGAGACCTCCAGCAGTTTTTTTGATTATTCAAAATTGTTTTTAGTTATCTTTGTTTTTTGTGTTTCCTTATGAAGCTGAAAATTGTCCCTTCAAGACCTGTAAAGAATTTTGTTGAAATTTTGATGGGGATTACATTGACTCTGTAGATTGCTTTTGGTAGGATGGATATTTTTACTTTAATAATCCTACCAATCCATTAGCATGGGGAATCGTTCCACCTTCTAATAGCTTCTTCAATTTCTTCAGTGTCTTAAAGTTTTTATCATACAAGTCTTTCACTTGCTTAGTTAAAGTTATCCCAAGGTATTTTATACTTTTTGAGGCTATTGTTAAGGGTGTTGTTTTCCAGATTTTTTTTATGTATTCCATTTTTCATTTGTCAATAAGAAGGCTACTTATTCTTGGGAGTTTATTTTGTGTCCTGCTACTTTTCTGAAAGTGTTTATCAGCTGTGGGAATTTCCCAGTGGAATTTTTAGAGTCACTTTTTTATATTATCGTATCATTCACAAATAAAGATACTTTGAATTCTTCTCTTCCAGTTTGTATCCCCTTGATCTCCTTCAGTTTTCTTGTTGCTCCAGCTGAAACTTCAAGCACTGTATTGAGGTATGGGGAGTGTGAGCAACCTTGGCTTGTTTCTGATTTTAGTGGAATTGCTTTGAGTTTCTGCCCGTTTAAGACGATGTTGGCTGTGAGCTTGCTGTAGACTGCCTTTTTAGGTTGAGGTATATCCCTTGCATCCTCCATTTTTCCAGTACTTTTATAATGAAGGGTTTTGGATTGTGTCGAAGGTCTTTTCTGCATCTGATGAAATGATTATGGTTTTGTCTTTCAGTTTGTTTATATGGTGGAGTACATTTATTGATTACATATGTTGAACCATTCCTGCAACTCTGGGATGAAACCTACTTGGTCACAGTGGATGATATTTTTGATAGCTCTTGGACTCAGTTTCCAAGTATTTTATTGACTATTTTTTTCCATCAATGTTCATAAGGGAAATTGATCTGTAATTCTCTTCCTTTGTTGAATATTTATGTGGTTTCATTTATAAACAGCGTCTGTCTGTTGAGTCTTTGTCTGTATGACCTGTTTATTGGTGAGGCGTTGAAGTCTCCAACTATCAGTGTGTGAGGATCAATGCATGATTAAAGCTGTAGTAGTATTTCCTTAATGAACTTGGGTTCCCTTGTGTTTGTTGCATGTACGTTAAGAACTGCAGTGTTCTCTTGGTGGATTTTTTTCTCTGATGAGTATGTAGTGCCCTTCCCTGTGTCTTATGATTAGTTTTGGTTTGATCTAATTTGTCGGGTGTTAAAATGGCTATGTCAGCTTGCTTCTTAGGTGCATTTGCTTGTAGTATCAATTTACATTCTTTTACCCTAAGATGATGACTATACGTGATGTCAAGATGTGTTTATTGGATGCACCAGATGGATATTGCTTTTGTGACTATTATGCTAGTGCATGTCTTTTTACTGGGGAATTGAGACCATGGATGTTGACAGCTATCAATAAGCAGTGTTTGTTGATTCCTGTTATTTTGTTGTTGTTGTTGGTGGTGGTGGTGGTGGTAGTAGTGTGTGTGTGTGTGTGTGTGTGTGTGTGTGTGTGTGTGTGTTCTCCTCTTCTGATTTGCTAGCCTGGGATTATTTATTGCCTATGTTTTGTTGGGTGCATCTAAACTCTTTAGGCTGGAATTTTCCTTATAGTGCTCTGCATAGGGCTGGGTTTGCAGATAGACACTGCTTAAATTTAGTTTTATCATGGAATATCTTATTTTCTCTAACCATGGTGATTGGAAGATTTGCTAGGTCTCATATGGAGTCTACAGCACATCTGTATAGGTCCTTCTGGCTTTAGAATCTCCATTGAGATATCAGGTAGTATTCTCATAGGTGTATCTTTATATGTTACTTGGTCTTTTCCCCTTGCATCTCTTAATATTTTCTTTTTTACATTTAGTGTTTTGATTATTATGTTCCAGGAAATTTCTTTTCTGGTCCAGTCTATTTTTTGTTCTGTATGCTTCTTATTCTTTGATAGTTATCTCCTTTAGGTTAGCGGAATTTTTCTATGATTTTGTTGAAAATATTTTCTGTGTCTTTAACATGGGTTTCTTCTCCTTCCTCTATTCTTATTATTCATAGATTTGATCTTTTCATAGTGCTTCAGGTTTTCTGAATGTTTTAATGCTAAGATTTTTGTAGATTTAATATTTTCTTTGACTGAGGTATTCATTTCTTCAATAATGTCTTCATTATTCATTGAGATTCTTGCTTCCTTCTCTTTTATTATGTTGGTGAAACTTGCCTCTGAGGTTTCTGTTCAATTTCCTAAACTTTTCATTTCCAGATTTCCCTCTGCAAGCCCCAGTTCTGGGTTTTTCTTACTGATTCTGTTTATGCTTTCAGGTCAGGTCTTGAACTGTTTTATTCATTTTCTTCCACTGTTGGCTTGTACTTTTATAGATTTCTTTAAGAGAATTATTAATCTCCTCTTTAAGGACCGTTGTCATATTCATAAAGGCTATTTTAAGGTCTCTGTCCTGTTCTTCAGCTGTGTTGCAATTCTCAGGGCCTGTGGTTGTAGGGCTGCTGAGCTCTCATGAAGACATTGTTCTGGCTGTTATTGATTGTGTTTTTACCCTGGCGTCTAGGCTCCTAATTGTAGTTCTGGGTGGTGCTGTTTGATCTTGTCTTAGTTGGGTGGTTGTTTTGTTCCTTGGTTTCTGCCACCCTCTTTATTTCTTCAGACTGCGTGGTGGCTTTGTGTTGCTTGGTAGGGAACTCTTCTAGGATTCTGCCATGCGTGGTCACTGGGAGATCTGGGTAAAATGTATTTCTAGGTATTGGGAGCTGACTCTTAGGAATGGGGATGTACTAGAAGCAGGTGCTGAGGGAGTCCTTAGGAGTGTGTTGGGGGGAGCAGGGTGTTCTATCAGTATGTGCTTGGTCCCCTGGGAATGGGGTAGAGAGTGAGGAGAGGCCACAAGAGGTTTAACCCAGAGCTGGGCATGAGATTTGAGATTGAATCTGGAGGAGCTGAGGGAGAGTGAAGAGCTTCCCTGCTTCCCTGACTGGAGTGAACTGTGGTTTCCCAGGGAATGCCTGCTGGAACTGGGGGCTGGGATAAAGAGATGGGTGGAGAGAAGGAAGGGTTGGGAGGGAGATCTGTGTGATCCACTTGAGACAGGGGCTGAGAGAGAGGGCAGGTCTCAGCAGGTGGACTGCCACAGAGTTGAAGGTGAGACTGGGGGATTGGATTTGGAGGAAAGGCAAGAGGGTGGAGATCTGTAGTTAACCTCCCTGCTCTGCTCCCTTATTGATTGTTCTGCTGTCTATATAGCCATTGCTCCCTATCTTTTGTCTAGAGAATGTAATGCACTAATGATTAATGTCATTGTTGACAGGTGAGACTACTGTTGCGATTTTGTTATTGTTTTCCTGTTGTTTTATGGAAGCTCTTGTTCTGTCATCTGCTCTTGCTACCGTCTTTTTATGATTTGATCATTTTTCTTTTGTTTTCTTCATGTTTTTCTTTTCCTCTTTCACAAATATACTAGAAGCTTTTGCTTTATGGATACAATTAAATTCATGAAGAACATAGCATGACAGTCAATTTTAAGCCCAATAACAATGTGGCTTCATTTGTCTGTAGAAACATCTTCCTCTCAACACTTTCTGTTTTTATGTATTTTGATATTGTGTACTTATTAACAAGTTATTATTGCTAATTTTAATGGAGTTATTCTGTTAAATTTAAATTCATTCTTAAAATTTAAGAACAGAGACTAGGTATTTTAATTTTTTTTTTTTTTGCTTCACACTGTACTCAATACAATGGTGAACAGGGAACACTATTTATTGCTTTGAGATTGACTTGCCTATTTAGAGAGAGAAACCATGTGATTTTTGAAACCATTGCCCATGCAGCTGTTGTGTTGGCCTGTGGTTATTAATGCCATTCTCCTCTCTTCTCTCTTCCCAACTACAGCGTGTGCATTCCGATACAATGGGCTCTCCTTTGTCTACCTTATCTACCTCTTGCTCATTCCTCTGTTCTCAGAACCAACCAAAGCAACGATGCAAGGTAAGAGACTCTGACGCCACAGCATAGTAAACATGTCTTGGTTATGCTTCTGGACTCTCTGGGTTTGTCTTTTTTCAGGGAGGAGGCTATTATCTGGCCAGCAGGGGTTGGGGGTGGAGTCCAGTGTTGTAATCACTATCAGGTAGAATAGAACAAATTTGCATGGGTCTTTGTTACTTCCACAGCCATTCTTCCTGTGTGAGTTCCTTACTGAGTCAGGAACCTTGCTAAGAAAGTCTGGAATTCTGTGGTTAGTGAAAACTAACTCAGAGTACTGTCAATAAAAACAAGACATGTGGTAGGGCAAAATTGGCATATGCATTTGAATATTTTGTTGTTGGGGAGAATTTGGCCATTGAAAAGAGTAGAGGAACGGCTGGCCCATTGAAGGCTTTCAGTGGGAGACCTGGGTGGAAGCCTGGTTTTCTGCTATTCCTTGCTTTTACATCAGTCGAGATTTTTTTTAAACATGTCCCTCAAGTGCACGGTGAAAGCAGAGCTGTGCGGCAGAGAACACCCAGAGCAGGTTCCTGTGAAGCTTTAGATCCTTGCTCATTGCTCCGCGAGGCAGAGAAAACAACAGTGATGGTTTTGCAGGAGTCTAATTAGCTAGCCCATTCTGGCTTGTGCTCGCACTTAACAGAAGGTCTTCCACAAATACAAAAACAAAGCTCCCTCGAGCTGGATGAAATATACTGTTTTCACAACGCGTAACATTACAAGCCGTAAGGACCATGCCAAATGTTGCAGGTGAGCGAAACGGCTGTGTATGTCCTTGACAGGAAAAGGCAGTTAGGTTTGTCCTGACCTTCAGTGACGTGGGAAAGGCCATTTGTGGTGACCCCCTTTTTAGTGATGGGCTGGCTCTTCAGGATAAATGGCAAAGACCATGGTGTGCAAAGAACAGTAAACAGCTTCATCTTTCTCCTTCTCCCTGATCAGGGAATTTAATAATGCTTTGCGCAGTTGTTCTAGTAGTTTGAGCTACGGACGCTACACCGATTTTCCTCCCAGTCACGATAGCTCTGAATTGCTCACGTGCTTAATTGACCAAAATTAAGAAAAGCTGTAGAAGCTGAAGTTTGTGCAAATCCTTATCAAGCAGCAAATTCAGTGTTGGTGGAGCTCCATCAGCTGTAACCTTGCTCTAAAGAGTTCAACATAGGATTTCTGGCCCTGAAAAGAAGATTATAATGTCCAGGCAACTCCCATTCTGGAACTTGAGGCACGTGCTGCAAAGAAAGGTTTTGTGAGCCTTCAGAACACAGTGTGTTTAAAGTGAGCACTTTTATATGTTCAGTTGAGTTCTTTGATGTTCTGTTCTTACACAGGTAGGCTCCTGCTCTATCTGGAGATCAGGTAACCAGAATACCTTTCACACTTTTGTGACAGTTCTTGAATTCCCCCCCCCCCGCCCAGTCAATACTTATGAATCTGTAATATATTCATACTGTAACAATTTTAGAGGTGCCCTTTGGGCTAAGCCCAGTACACTGAGCCCTGTGACTGTCAGGAAGGAGGTATATATGACACAGAACCAAAAACTACACATCCTCTGCAGGTGCAGACGTATCCTGTGAATGAAAAGTTACAAGGTCAGTGCACAGAGAGGAACACAGGTGTCTGCCGTTTCTGGTCTTACAAGAACAGGTTCTTTAGGAAATCCCTACACCAGCACCCGGAAGCAGCATCCGGGTGTTTCGTCTTCCTCTTTCCTGCATCTCAGTACCAGGAAACGTGACTGGTATTAATATAACCTCATCTGTTTGTTTGTTTATGTAATCTACATGATTTCTTTTATGATCTGTAAGACTCAAAAAATCCATACACTTCTAGGAACCTTGTGAAAAGGCAAAGTGGAAAGACATTCCCAGGTCATATGAGGTCATGCTTGGAGTCCATGTACTGAAGCCAGGTGCCTGTCACAGGAGCAAGAGGGCCTTCAGGGCAGATGTAGGCTCAAAAGCATGAAGCTGTGAACGTTTGAGTTCATAACCACATCTCAGGAATTATACGACATTGGCCAAGGTTCTCAGTAAGTTCTGCAATGTACCTCCCAGAAACACCATGTCCAAATCCATGTGTAAATTTGAATTGGTCCCAGGAGCTGATGCAAGCATTGTCCCTTGCCAGATTCTGTTTTACAGGCACACTGAGCTAGAAATGAAATACAATCGGAGAGTTCTTGAGTTGAAATAAACGGGTTTGGGGAGTGGTGAAGTACATGTCAGCAGTAGTAAGGGCACCCTTCTGCAGCACACGGTCCGTTACATGGGAGCTCCTTTCCCACTGGGAACTCTAAAGCAGTGGTTCTGAACCTGTGCGTCATGACCTCTTTGGGGGCTGAATGATCCATTCGCAGAGGTCACATATCAGATATCCTGTATATCAGATATTTACATCATGACTCATAACGGAGGCAAAATTACAGTTATGAAGTAGCAACAAAATAGTTTTATGGTTGGGGCGGTCACCACAACATGAGAAGCTGTATTTATTAAAGGATCCCAGCCTTAGGAAGGTTGAAACCGCTGCTGTAAAGTATTGTCAGATAGTCTCAGGACAGACTGAACTGTCCTTTCCTGCACTCCCTGGGCTTGTTTCCTGCCTAAAGCAACAATGAGTTAAAAGAGATCAGAGGTCACCTTCCAATAATATTGTGAAGGGTTTGTGGAAGGCTAGGCACTTCATTCATTAAATGGCTGAGATCGTTAAATGTGTGATTATCTCCATAGGACTGAATCTTTTGGGGTTCTTTCCTAAATCAGAAATGACTCCAGGTATTTTTTAAAAAGAAAATTTAATACAGGAAGTTCATTAAAGGTGAAAAGAAAACCAGGAACCCAGGGAGTATGTTCCGGCGGCACAGAACGAACCATCAACCAAGCTTCCATTTTTAACTTGGCGGGATATGTTTTGTTCCTCCAGGATGTGAGTTCTCAACTGTTCTCACCGAATATGGTCCTCCAGTGGCCTCCTACTTTGTCAGATTCTCTTCTGAAATGCATTGCATAGTAGATACTTTGTTGTAAATGAGTTTTTCCTTAAGATGGCAGAGCCTCTTTCCTTGCTGTCTAAAGGCCTTCCAGGGGCAGGTCACAGTAGTTTTTTTTCCTGGTGTTGCCGATGTTTGTCCATGTTCTTCAGTTCTCTGCCACTATATCCAAACCCAAGGATAGTCGTTTTACACAGAAGAAAGGTTTGCCGACAGGATTAGTAATTTAGAGATTTTAGTCAGCGGCCAGAGGACTCACTGCATTTGGTCCTGAAGAGAGGCAACATATTGTCTCGGGGAGTGCGACAGAGCCAACTGTTGACTTCACGGCTGAGATCCAACAAAAAAAGAGAGCAAGGGATAAGCCTGGGATCTCGCAGTCCTCTCTGAGGGCATGTGCCCAATTGCCTGATGGCCTGCCACTATATATTTACCACTCAGAAGGGTCCCTTCTTCCTCCCAATAGTGCCTACCAGTACTAGACCTAAACACACAGGTCCATTGCGGGCATTAAGACCCATTGAGAAGTCTGAAGGAAGCCACCTTACATAGACTCCTCCCCCTGACCAGGGTAGTTTGGCTCCAATGGTCATCCAGTATTTGTTTCTGAGTCCTGAAGGATGGGTAGTCTCTGGGTGGGGGAGGGGGTTATGGCAGCTCCAGCCGTCCCTGTCCACCTTCCTCTCTGTGCAGTTCTGTTTTCCCAACTCCCCGCCAGGCGTGCCTTCAGGTACACTGTCAAGTCATGCTCTTACTGTGCAAGTCAAACTGGGCCTCAGGTTCTGGGCGTATTGTTGTAGATGTTCATTCAGCGGACACAGGTGAGGCCGGAAGGCTGGGAACTCAGCAGAGGGGTCCACGTGGAAGCTAAGAACGAGACATGACGATGATCCCAGCGCTAAAGTCCAAGAATGCAGACACTCGTGTACGGCACAGCCTTCGATGAACTCAACTGGGTACCAATTCATGCGTCGAAGTGTTCCCCTTAACGTATAGGTATCCACCTTGGTTAGGGTTATTAGGCTCAGTGAGGACCAATGAGTAGAGAGAAGTCTAAGCAAAGTGTAAATTCATTCCACAGACAGTAGTTAGCTATAGAACCCATGTAGCTATAGAATCGTGGATTTTTAATTTTTAAAAAGATTTCTTTATTTCATCTGTAAGCATTTTGTCTGCACATATGCATGTACACTATGTACGTGTTTGATGCCCATGGAGATCAGAAGTCATCAGAACCCTTGGAACTGGAGCTATGGATGATTTTGAACTGCGGTGTGGATTCTGGAAATTGAAGCCAGGTCCCCTGCCAGAGCAAGTGCTCTTGATCCCTGAACTAGCTCACCAGTCCTGTATGTGGCTTCAAATTGCCAAATTCGTATATCACAATTTAAATACCCCCTCCAGAGTTCAAGCTGAAGTACAGTTGCCATGGTAATAGAGCAGAAGGTGGAAGTATTTTAAAAGCACTGGTAATGAGGGCCCCACACTCACACGTGAACAAAGGGCGTTAGGGTGGGCCTTCTAGAAGGATGACTCTGTCTCATATATGTGCTCTACAGTGTAGCTGCACACCATATAGGCCAGACCACACGTGTGTGTCATGCTCTTGGACTTCATGGCTTCCGGAACTGTAAGAAAACAATCTCTGTTCTTATAAATTGCAGAGTTTCAGTTATTTTCTTACTGTGGCACAAATGGACATTGTACTGTCCTGAACAGATCTCTCTGCCTGTAATGCATTTCTCTGGATCTTGAATTATAGCCATTTTTTTCATACATAGCTTCATTTCAGTTGCCACTTGCTTAGAAACCTCTTCCCTCACTTCCCTAGTAAAGCTGCCTTGTGCTTTTCCCACTTTCATTTACCGTGCTGTGAACCAGTTTTAATTTTTATCCATACTAATGCCTATGAAGTTATCGGCTCCACCAATTCATGGTAATACTTGGACTTGGAAACCCTAGATGTGCATTTGTATCTTTTTCTCTGGATGGCTCCTCAGTGTCC